GCCTAAAATGGATTTAGAAATGACGTTATTTTTAACCAATCAAAGCCTGTCATGTAGAACCCGTTTCTTGATAACATGATGAATTGTGGGATAGTTAAACCGAAGTAGCACTATATAACAGACTCTTTCAGTTTCCATATCCCATAATACTCTATCGTAATCAAGAAATGGGAAATGGAACAAGTGACATCAGGGGTTCCAGTGAAAACATACCTTATTTTGGGTGTTAACATCAGCCGAATTATCAAGTAATAACTTGACCACATCTAGATGACCTTCTTGAGAAGCCAAATTAAGAGCTGTATTCCCTTTCTGAAAAATAATACACCACTTGAGAGAAAATGTCTGAATGTATCTTATAGTTTTCATCTTCTTTACTGTATAATATTTTTCTCTGATTCTCAAAATGGATGAAGTATAACAACTTTGATATAAGAATTGAGGAATTAAAATAAAATGGACTTTAATATCCTACTGTTCTACTTCAGGTTGGTGTAGTGACAGACCATGCAGTGTCGAATGGAGGTAAGTGGCATTAGAATAATCATTTTCATTTTCTTTAATGTACAGAACTACATCTTTACCTTAGTAACAACATTTACATCTGCATCTCTCTCTAACAATGTTTTTACAATATCTACATGTCCTTCTAGACTGGCTATATACAGGGCTGTGAAACCATCCTGAAAACAAAATAGATTAGAATGGAACTTTACTTCGAAACATTTACAAATACAGATATCACACAAAAACAAGTTGGTTTTACAATGGGTGAGGTCAAATCCCGTGTTAGTGTTAACATTGGTGTTAGTACCGAATTTGGACACTAAAACTGTAGTTGGATATTAACACAGAGTGTGTAACACGAGCTCACTATCGGTATGATTTTCTTGAATGTTAAAGATCACACAGAACCGATCTGTATGGGTTTTTAGCCTTAATTAAAATTTCTAAAATATATTTGATGATTTGATATAGTATATTACGGCTTTATTTGAACGTATTCATTATTTCTCAACGCGGTTTATTTGGTGTTAGTCCGCAAGACTTTACCTCATACTGGTTTTCCGTTTTAGCCCTGATATAAAAATTATCAACATGGTGTTAAGCATAGTATTAAAACGATTTCTCCGTCGTGTTAGTGTTAATATCGAAGATGTGATTTCAAGGGTTACCTGAACACATTATTTACATAATTATGTAATTTCCTTTAGCAATCGGATTTATTTTACAGTTTGACATTCGGTACTCAAATTCTAATCGATTCCCGTCTGAAATAAGCCTCAAAATGGATTTAGAAATTCTGCGCTAACACTAATCTCTAGGGTATTAACACGAGCATGAGTTCAAGTTTAGTGTTGGTGTTATCAGCCATTTTATTTCATTTTAAATGTTTTTTATACCGGTTGCTCAAGCTATTGCTGCTACAAGTGCGGAACCGATTGAACGTCATATCCGGGTGAATCAACATGAATAAGATGAGTTATCGGCCGAGTATCGTGATTTTAGAGATGGAGACCCTGCAAGGAAACAAATGTGTGTTTCTCAAAAACGCATGGAAACATTTTTGGTATATCTGGCTTCAGGTGGTTATTACAGAAATGTTGGTTTTTCCAATGGCGTGGCTAAAACTACTACCTTGTTATACGTCCATGAGGTTGCCGATTGTTTCTTTAGCATTGCTCCAAGATTCATTAAACTACCACGCCCGGAGGAATACCCTGATTTAACAACAACTGTTAGAGATGTTGATGGTAATAACACAGATATCATACTCTATATTGACGGTGTAATCATTAAAATTCAACGCCTCGACCATGCATGAGATGCTTACCATTCTTGACACCTGATACCACTTTCATTATGAAATACTTCCTCATTTATTGATATATTTCCGCATATGAAAAATTCATTAGCTGCTACCAATGTATTGCCAATATGATTTTATGGAATTTGATTTTTGTTTTGCGGTTCGGATCGTTGGTAGATTAGGTTTTATTATTGCTATTACTATGATAAAAACACAAAAACAATAAAGTTACGGTTAAGATATAGAAAGGCCTATGGATAGGCTTCCATTAGTTTTCATAGTTGGTATGTCCAAACGTAGCTTTGCACACAAGGAAAATTTCTCCAAGTGCGGTGATTTCAACGGCAAAACAATCGCTG